AGACATACTTACAGTTTTCTTTGTAGCTTATTTTGATTATTGCTTGTTGAATCTCTGGTTTAATTCATGCTAGAATAATCAGTTTTTCATTGTACTTTTTTGCCAGTTTCTGCACACACAAGCATCACATCCCACAAAGCATCATTAAAGGATGTAGCAGCCATCCTTTTTTCCTGTTTGAAAATTTTCAAATAATTAACTTCTACTAACAAATGGAGTTCAAAGTGGAAATTATAAAATATTAGCAGTCACACATGAAATATTAAAAAATTTACAAAACTGTTAGACCTAATTTTAGCACTCGGGAGGCAGAGGCAGGTGGATCTCTGTGAGTTTGAGACCAGCCTGGTCTACAAAGCTAGTTCCAGGACAGGCTCCAAAGCCACAGTAAAACCCTGTCTCGAAAAACCAAAAAAAAAAAACTGTTAGACCTTCTTACTAAATACTATAATTTTTGTATTGACTGAAGATATTTAAGCTTTGTAAATAGCATAGCCTGTGAAACCATGAAATTCTTAGATGTTAATATTGTAATACCAAATAATGTAATATCTCAATATGAATAATGCATCCAGAAGCATATTGAGCTGGTAAATTAAATCAACTCAAATATAGGAAACAAAAGTAGAATAGGATAAGTAAATTCAAAAATCATTTTATTGCCAAAATATATAAACTGAAATAGAAAATATGCTAATAGGTCCCAAATAATTTTAGATACTTTTCTCACTGATGTTAATTCTTAATAATCATGCTCTTTTTATAACTTCAAGTCACATGTACAATTCAGTGTTGTTTCTTCAATATTTTGATCATTTATCTATATAGTTAGTTAGATTTTATGATATATGAATTCTAGTTCTTATATTTGTAAAATAGATAATTACATGGGGCACAGACTATCATTACTCTATAAGTAGCTCAATAAAAATCTACTACTACTAGACTCACTAAAGATTGTATTTAAGATGATAATGTGTTTATTGATATTAGCAATATTTTCTGCTATATTAACTTTCATATTTAAAAGGATTGTATAGTTTGCCTTCAAAAGACATAGTAATATCATCTTAAAGCCAACACAAAAAACAACAGCGAACCATTTACTTTGACATGTATCCAAAATAGAACCATGCAAAACATATCTCACCTTTATACATAGGCATGAGACAGACAATGATAAATAAAATTGTTTTTCTAAGTTTCAGTATGAATTTATTTAAAAAGAGTTTAATCAATTTCTAACACATATTTCACAGTGTGCTGTTTAAGTAGCATACAGTCTCTGCTCTGGGAATAAATTCTTTCCCAAGTCACTTTTTAATTGGTGGGAATATGTTTCCCTGTGAATCAAGAAGCCTAACAAAGCAAAATAAAACAAGAAAAAGAACTATTTGAGTAAGCTACTATTTTCTATAGTTTAAATATTATGTTTTTTTATTTGTGATTATGAATACCAGGAATAGAGGAACATTACTACAAAGTGAGCAGTTGGAAAGTTGAGGCAGGAGAACTGTGAGTTGAAGCCATCTAGGGCTTCATAGTAAGGCTTTGTTTCTTAGTAAGTAAATTAATCAATAGATCAATTGATAAATTTTTTTTCACTTCTCAGAAGAGAAATATAAATAATGAAATCCCAGAAATTGATAACTATTTCATTTATTTAATTATATTAATCCTTTGGGTGGTTAAGTCCTGTCTGTAGTCTGGACTGACTGGTGCTCCCTATGTAGATTCATAAGGCCTCAGCATTGTGATGATCTGCCTGCTTCTGCCTCCCATTTCTTAGATTAGTGGCAAACAGAAAAACACTCTACTATACACACATTTTATATAATAATATTAAGAAATAGTGACAAAATTCTGGATTTATAATGCAGTCTTGTAGATAACACTAAATGCACAAGAGGTCCTTAATCATTGGCCACCACTGAAATCCTCAACATTTCTCCCAGTTCTGAACTGTCATTCATCACGTTCACTTTATTGGTCCAAAAACTATAGGAAGGAAGGAAACCTCACTTTTCTCCCTTTAGTGTGTAAACTGGGGAAGTGATACAGACTTTTCCAGGGATAATTACTCCTCTAAAAGGTAGATTGATAATGGCAGCAGTGAAGGTGAGAATAGGAAGTGTCATTTCTTTCTCAATTTATTAATCAGCAATTGTGCTAATATGTACCAACCCAGAATTCTACATGCTTCCCTACTAAGGTCTCCTAAGGTAGATTGTGAAGTACTATTACTGATTTCTGTAGAGTCTTCAGATGCCCCATCAGAACACACATATAGTGGAGGAGAATACTAAAACAACACATAAGATCTTATAATATTAATACAGGCATAATATTTTAGAATAGAAAAATAAAAAGAAGTACTTTAGAATCACAAACATTCAACATGCCCCTTGCACTATTTGATATTTGGTTACAGTTTTGGGGAATAATTCCACTGTAACTATAACCATTAAAATGTTTATGTAATACAAATCATTATTGTTAAAATGTATATTTAATCCACTACATAATGATGACAAGAATCTTCATTTTTTTTAAAGTTTTACTTTATTTGTGTGTACAAGTGCGTGCATGCGATGTCTTGGAGGACAGAGGGGGACACTTGAGCACCTGGAGCTGCAGATACATGTGAGTGTATGCTTAAAACACCCATCACTTTGAAGGAAACATCAGCCTGATGAGAACCACTCATAAATTTTTAGTCTTTCAGAAGCAGAGACTAATGCCAAATTCTTCTGTTGGTGCAAACCCTGGTGCTGGTCAGTCAGTACTCTGCGGATAACTGACATCACTGGAGTTTTTTCCGTCATATAAGTATTTGAACTTTTTTCTTGTGGAAACCGTCCTTACTTCTACCCAAACGTTTTCTAGCATGAGAAGAACATTGAAAATAAAGGGATATCTCACTTTCTATTTTATCCCACTCTGTCTGATGTAGCTAAGAAGTTGATTATTTTATGGTTTTCCTTATTATATTGCATTCTTAGTGATAGTATACTCTTGCTGGTACTCATTCTACTACATTTTAGTAGTGTCATTGAGATTATTGATGATTTATTCATTATTAGATTTTGTATCACCTGGAGTAGACTTCATAACATTTGTCATTTGTGTGATTACCATATTTCTGCTGTCTTTATATAGACAAAAAGCAGTAACACATTGTGTTTCCAATATATCTTATGGCTCTACAAATAAACATGCTTGGAACTGGCTGATTACACTGATTTACAGAACACATTTAGATAATTTATAAATTACAAAATATATTGGATGCCCAAATCTCATTGTTAGGTCATCATGTATCTGAATTTATTTCATCCTGTTGCAAGAATCTTTTTGTAGGAACAGAATACTAAATAATAAGGTTTAATTGTTAAATATGAAGATAAAAATATCACCAGAAAGTTTTCTAAAATTATCAGAGGATCTATACCCATGGGGTATTTGAAAAATTGCTGCCTAAAGAAGACAACAACAATAAACAGGGAAACATGGAAGGGGAGAGTTTCATTGGGCCTTAAACATAGAAAAAAACCTAGTGGAAACTAATGAATACTGAGTGCATGAGAAAGAGTCTCCTCCAAGAAGAGCAAACATGTTTTTATCCAGTACCATGTGGAAATCATACAAATAAATTTATATTATCTGAACAAGTTGTGCACATACATATAATATATATTATATGCATATGGCATGTGTAATGTATAACAGTTAAAGAAACAGGTGGCAAATTTTAATAATAATCATATATAGAAATGGCTTAGAGAAAGCAAAGAGAAGAAATAATTTAAATATATTATGATTTTAAAATAAATATATTTGAAAAGAATTTATTACTCATACCTTCATTAACAGTGAATTTGAATTTGATATTTCCATTTATTAAAACAATAATTATCAAAAAATCCATCAAGGGGTTATTGCAACTCTAAATATCTAGGCAACAAGCACCAGGTCACCCAAGTTCATAAAAGGAACACTGCTATAGCTACAATCACATAATGGCCTTCACACAACAATATTGGTGACTTCAGTTTTCCATTCTTGACAAGATACAGATCTCTTAGATAAAACCTAAACTGGGAAGTTCTGGAGTTAAATGAAATCATAAACTAAGCAAAACTAAGGATAAGAAGGCAAACATCTCTCCAAACATAGAAGAATATATCTTCTTCATAGCACTTTATAGAACTTTTTCTAAAATGATGTGTGTGTGTGTGTGTGCTTGTATGTATGTGTGTTTGTATGTGTGTGTGTGCATGTGGGCATGTATTCATATGTATGAGTGTGTGTGTGTGTGTGTGTGTGTGTGTGTGTGTGTGTGTACAGGAACATATATAACCTACCACTTCATAATAGATCATAAGACAACTTGAAATTGTAGATTCCAGACTGGCCTGAAGAGTCTTTCATACTAGAAATTTAGAAACCAAAATGATACTAATGTGTTATTTTAAAAATCATTGTAACTAAATGCATATATGAATTTCAGTAGTTATTATTTCAGAATATGATTAACAATAAAGCTAATTAGATTAGATATTCTTTTGAGAAAGATAGTTCACAATAAATAAAATTTTTAAATGAAGTTTTTTAAAAATTTGATTAGATAAGTAAGTAAGTAATTTGTTTTTATGAGACAGGGTTTCTTTGTGTAGCTTTGGAGTATGTCTAGAACTTAGACTGTAGATGCTGCTGGTCCTTTCCTCACAGGTATCTGCCTGACTCTCCCTCAGGAATTCTGAGATTAAATGCATGCACCACCATTGCTTGATTTAATATGAAGTACTTTAAGTTTGCAAATATACATATAACTTAGCATATGCTTAAACAGATAAATGTCTCTCAATATCACAAAGAAATTTCAGTTTGTATTAATCACTAGTGCAGAAACAGACAAGATACATAGTTAAAGATAGCTATCTCAGCAAACTTAATAACAAACACATAAAAGCCAAATCTGCAATACATATTAGCACATATTATATTTTAGCAAATTGTCTGTAAAAGAATTTTCTCAATGCTACTTTGACATCCTTGTTTCTTAGACTGTATATAATGGGATTAAACATGGGAGTCACAACAGTATAGAAAAGAGAAAGCACTTTGTCAGTTCCACCCGAATGACTAGTATTAGATCTAAAATATGTAACCATACCTGATCCAAAAAATAACATCACAACTGCAAGATGAGATGAACAGGTGGAGAAGGCTTTGGCCTGACTGGTGGCTGATGGCAACTTCAGCACTGTAGAGATGATTTTACTATAGGAAAAGATTATTAACAGGAATGGAACCACACCAAATAACAGAGCACCTAGGAAAACCATCATCTCATTCACAAAGATGTCCCCACAGGCCAGGTGAAGTACTGGGGGCAAGTCACAGAAGAAGTGGTTGATTTGATTGGAACCACAAAACGAAAGAGAAAAAATCTGTGATGTCTGCCCTATCTGTGCTGGAATTCCACTGACCCAGGAGCCAATCACCAGCTGAGAACACACTCTCTGGTTCATGAGTAGAGGATAGTGCAGAGGTTTGCAGATGGCCACGTAACGGTCATAGGCCATGACAGCCAGCAGGAAGCACTCTGCAGCCCCCAGGATAAGAGTGCAGCACATTTGTGTAGCACAGGCAATGAAAGAGATGCTTCTTCTCTGGGTCCCAAGGTTGTAGACCATTCTGGGGAGACTAATTGATACATAACATATCTCTAAAAACGAAAAGTTGCCAAGGAAAAAATACATGGGTGTCTGAAGAGCAGAGTCCAGCCTTGTGATGAGCACAATGGTGCCGTTGCCCAGTAGGATAAAGGAATACATGACAATAAGCAGTCCAAACAGAAACCACTGGAGATGAGGAACATCTGAGAATCCCAGAAGAACAAATTCCTTCAGATTGGTTAGATTTTCTCCTTGTGGTTTTTGATGGTGGTTCATCTGTGAAGTAGATTCAGGCAACATGGCTGTTTACTTTCCCATTGGGGGAAAAAAAAGGCTTTTATCTTAATATAAATTCACCCAGATTGATCTTTATTATCTGATCAATAGTGTCTACCGTAAAGGAACTTTTGCTCATAATTTTAGTTTTAGCATATTATAACTTTTTCATTATTGCTGTATATTAAAATTTCTTTAAAACTTAATGTTAGACTGCCTAGGTCCATAATTCAGGGTATACTAAACTATGATCTAAACATAGCAGAGACCTCAACATTATTGGAAGCTATTTCTGATAAATACACTAACAGATACATTTACATTGTCTCTGATAGCATTAGTATATATTCTGAGAAGTGGGCTGGAGTGTGAGCTGAGCAGTTATAAACACTGTTTTTTCCTTATAACTACTCTGGTTTGATTACCTGAACCAAGTTAGCAGCTCAAAACTCTCTGTAACTTCAGCTTAGGCTGGATGATTTGAGATGTATATAACCTATCAAAGAATTTATACATATAATGTGGAACTAAAAAACATTAGAATGAAAATGGTTTTCTATTCTTATGAATTTTGTTAGATTTCTAAAACAAAATATCATTGATATTTTCATAACTTTTAAAATATTTACTATAAATATAAAATAAAATTGTTTTATGTATGTCTCTCTTAGGGTTTGAATTGTTGTCTAGGTTCTCTGAGATTGTTATTTGTGGACTGGCTTTTTTGCTTTATGTTATAAAACCATTTATAAGTGAGTACATGTGATAATTGTCTTTCTGTTTCCTCTCAAACCACATTGTATCTCCAATAGATAGCCACTGGAAAAGAAAAATTAGTTTTCTCCAATGCAGAACTCAGGGCATACAAGCCACTCTTAATACCAAACCTCATGCCCAACAGTACATGGACAACACAAAACTAACCCAGTGATATTTTGGGAGGTTATTTGCTTTTTAATGGTTTGTCTCTCCTTTTTCTTTTTTTTCTTTTTGTAAACCTTACAAATCTTTAAATGTATTTTGGATTCTGGTTTTGTGTTTTGTGGAATTTCTGTGTGTGAGAATATATGTGTTTGTATGATATGTTTTTCTTATGTTTTTCTTTTACTCTTTTTTTCTGGTTGTTTGTTTTATTCTATTCCAGTTTGTTTTTATTTTTCATATTTTATTTTCTTATTATGTGCTAGAGGTCTGTTGTTCTCTAATCATATAAAAAAAGGAATGTGTATGTTTTTGGGAGAAACTTCAGGGACAGGAAACCATAATCAGAATATCCCTAATGAAAACAAGAGCTAACATCCATAAAAATATGGACAAATATAAAATTGTACACACCAATGCCTTAAACATATTATTATTTATTTACTTCTTCAAACATTTTATTTTAATAGTCTACAATTAAAAGTTTCAATGTTCTCCCTTTTAGTTAGTTTGATTACTGCTATTTATTTCAAAGATTGCTTTCATTTTATGACTTAATTTGTACATATTTACCTCATTTTTCACTTTATAATGACAAGCAATGTATCAATCATGCCATAAACATTTGACACATCTCCAAAATATATAGAGAACTCAAGAAACTAGACTTTAAAATGCTAATTAACCCAATTAAAAAATGGGGCACTGATCTGAACAGAGACTTCTCAACAGAAGAAGTTCAAATGGCCAAAAGACACTTAAGGTCATGCTCAACTTCCTTAGCAATCAGGGAAATGCAAATCAAAACAACTTTGAGATATCATCTTACACCTGTGAGAATGGCTAAAGTCAAAAACACCAAGGATAACCTTTGCTGGAGAGGCTGTGGAGGAACGGGTACCCTCATCCATTGCTGGTGGGAATGCAATCTTGTGCAACCACTATGGAAGTCAGTGTTTCGGTTTCTTAGGAAATTCGGGATCAACCTACCCCTGGACCCAGCAATACCACTCTTGGAAATATAGCCAAGAGATGCCCTATCATATGACAAAAGCATTTGTTCAACTATGTTCATAGCAGTATTATTTGTAATAGCCAGAACATGGAAACAACCTAGATGCCCTTCAATGGAAGAATGGATGAAGAAAGTATGGAATATATACACGCTAGAGTACTACGCTGCGGTAAAAAACAATGACTTCTCGAATTTTGCATGCAAATGGATGGAAATAGAAAACACTATCCTGAGTGAGGTATCCCAGACCCAAAAAGATGAACATGGGATGTACTCACTCATAATTGGTTTCTAACCATAAATAAGGGTCACGGAGTCTACAATAGGTGAATCTAAAGAAGCTAAGTAAGAAGGGGAACCCAAGGAAAAACATATAGTTATCCTCTTGGCTAAGGGAAGTAGACAAAATTGCCGGGGAGAAAATTGGGATCTTGGGGTGGGGTGGGTTGGGGGTAAGGTTAGATGGGGAGAGAAAAGTTAGAAGGGAAGGAGGTCGGGCCTTGGGAAAGCAGGAGGATTGGGATAAAGGAAGGTTGGACAGGGGAGCACGGGACCACAATTCTTAGTTAAGGGAACCACTTTAGGGTTGGCAAGAGACCTGACCCTAGAGGGGCTCCCAGGTGCCCAAGCTGAGGTCCCCAGTTAGTTCCTTGGGCAGTTGAGAATAGGGAACCTGAAATGACCCTATCCTTGAGCAATACTGATGAATATCTTGCATATCATCATAGAACCTTCATCTGGTGATGGATGGAGATAGAGACAGAGACCCACACTGGAGCACTTGACTGAGCTCCCAAAGTCCCAATGAGGAGCAGAAGGAGGGAGAACATGAGCAAAGAAGTCAGGACCACGAGGGATGCACCCACCCACTGAGACAGTGGAGCTGATCTATTGAGAGCTCACCAAGACCGGCTGGACTGTGACTGAAAAAGCATGGGATAAAACTGGACTCTCTGAACATGGCGAACAATGAGGGCTGATGAGACGCAAAGGACAATGGCACGGGGGTTTGATCCTACGTAATGTGATGGCTTTGTGGGAGCCCAGCCAGTTTGGATGTTCACCTTCCTAGATATGGACGGAGGTGGGAGGTCCTAGGTCTTACCACAGGGCAGAAAACCCTGACTGCTCTTTGGACTGGAGAGGGAGGGGGAAAGGAGTGGGGGGAGGGGGAGAAGGGTGGGAGGAGGGGGCGGAGGAGGGGGAGGAGGGGGAGGGAAATGGGAGGCTGGGAGGAGGTGGAAACTTGTTTTTTTTTCTCCTTTTCTCAATAAAAAAAGAAAAAAAAAGAAAAAAAACATTTGACACATCACGGTTAAAAGAAGCATAACTTTGAATTATAGTAAGTAGTGATTTTAGAAGATCATTCACTTAATTATGCTTATAACACATATCTTAGCAGGATGAAGGTAGGAAAGTCGGTGCGAAGTGTAGAGGGCCCAGGTTTAGAGCCTGGAGTCACATGAAGCAAAGTCATGGACTGTCTGGTTAAACGCTCTGTACACCATCACAATTTTAAAGATCCCCAAGCAAAATATTCAGATAAACATTTTAAAATTCACTTTATAGAAGGATTTATAGTGATCCTAAAATCTGGTAAACTTCAATAATGTTTTATGATTTCTCTTCATAGTAAACTTCCTTCACCAGACTTTAATTTCATTTTTAGCTTTTCTGTTTCTTGTAGGTGAAATAATAAAACCCTCCTTGACCAATTTTATATGTAAGAGTAGAAATTATTGCTTATTAACTCAAAGAGACTATTTGCTATTTTTCTCTACTTAGATAAATATCTAGATATTTTATATTAGTGAACTATTATATTCCAGGAATTCATCACACTACTTACTTAAACCTCATTGATGATCTTATTTATTTAGCTTGCTGAAAATAATTTTTATTCAAATCTTCTTGCTTGAGAGTTAGGTCTTTTGTATGGTCAAAGAGAATATTTTCATGCAGCCACAAAGGGGTCATCATTTATTGTAGGTGCTAATTTTCTACTTTTACAATGGCAAAGAAGACATTTTCTAGGAAATTCCATCTTAGATGGTCTTTGACTCTGCAAAACTATGATTTGGACATTGTCTAGGACTAAAGCTGTAGTAGCAGAATCATTAGTATATAATATGTGTTGTAGCTGAAATTTTATTCCACTTTTTTTTGATTGTGTAACATATATTACATAATATATAATTACATTTGGCCACAATACATTGAGCTATCCAATGACATAAGGGTTATAAAACTCTTAGGATTATTGTGTGACTCACATAAGTTACTATAGACAAAAAGTAAAAACCACTTGACACAGTCATGTCATTCTTTATTCTACAAATATTATTTATACTACTTTTCAAATACCACATTTAATTCTTCTACATTTTTAATTGTTTTATTCCAAATATTTTAATCACAATCTCATCAAAAAGACAATCTTTGAATCTCTCCCTTTGTTTGAATATTTTTTTTGAAATGAGTGTCATTTTCCTACAATAATAAGATTTTAATGAAACCTTTAAAGTGTGTCTGACGGTGATACAGTCATGGGTCTGTTTTTACCTTTTGCCTTTCTTTCACTTCTCTTTAATAGGGTTCCATTATCAGGATTCCACATGAGGGCCTTTTGTGGTTTTCTTTATGCTTTGGTATGAACTTTGACTGATCCTAAAAAAGGTAAGAGGAAAATAATTCACTTCTTCAGTCATCTATATTTTTTATTTGATTGTTCTCAGTTCCATCTGATGCTCATTATGCAGCTCAGCTTTGAATTAAACAGATTCTCTTTAAAGGAAATTCTCATTCTCAATTATAAGAAGCTGATAATACAGAGAAAAAGAACAATAAGCTATTCCCATACCATGTTTTCAAGTGGCAATGATTAATATGGCTACTCCTAACAAATATTTCCTGACCTACTTACATTACAATTTAAAGTTATACAATACTAAATCTAGTTACTAAATTACATTCTGGACATGGCTGTGTCTTCTGCTCTCAAGGAGATTAAGCTATAAATAGGTGGAATTTACTCAGTGACCTGTACTCAAATAATATTTATTGT